ATTTGAAAGAGTTACACAGAGAGGAGAGGCAGAGGCAGAGAGAGAGAGAGAGGTCTTCTATCCAATGGTTCACTCCCAATTGAGCACAACAGCTGGAGCTGCGCCGATCTGAAGCCAGGCACCCAAGGACTTGGGTCATCTTCTACTGCTTTCCCAGGCCAGAGCAGAGAGCTGGATTGGAAGCCAAACAGTCGGGTCTTGAATCGATGCCTATATGGGATGCCGGGACTTCAAGCCAGGACGTTAACCCACTGTGCCATAGCACCAGTCCTGACAGATGCTTCTACACCTTCTCAGGGGTTGGACTGGGAAAGGGGAATAGTACAATGTTATTACTACATTTTTCTAGTAAAGGTAAGTCACTAGCCCAGTCCAGATTTAAATTGAAGGGACCAGGTTTGTAAGAGCAGTGAAATAACAGACTGTCACAATATGATCTCAGTTTGTTAATGAATAAGTGGCGACTTAGGGAGGGTAAGTTACTTGCCCAATGTACAGCATAGTACCAGACACTTCAAACTTGTGTGCTACATCATGGGTCAACAAATAAAATTTTGACAGAGTTATTTTCTTTTTTAAAAAGTTACTTATTTGGGGCCAGCATTGCAGCATAGTGGGTAAAGCTGCCTGGCATCCCATGTGGGTGCCAGTTTAAGCTGCTTCTGACTCAACTCCCTTTTCTCTCTCTCTCTCTCTCTTTTTTTTTTTTCTTGACAGGCAGAGTTAGACAGTGAGAAAGAGAGACAGAGAGAAAGAAAGGTCTTCCTTCCGTTGGTTCACCCCTCAAATGGCCTTATGGCCAAGGCACCACGCCTATCCGAAGGCAGGAGCTGGGTGTTTCCTCCCAGTCTCCCATGTGGGTGCAGGGACCCAAGCACTTGGGCCATCCTCCACTGCCTTCCCGGGCCACAGCAGAGAGCTGGACTGGAAGAGGAGCAACCAGGACAGAATCCAGTGCCCCAACCGGGACTAGAACTTGGGGTGCCGGTGCCACAGGCGGAGGATTAGCCTAGTGAGCTGTGGCGCCGGCCTGACCCAGCTGCCTTCTAATGTGCCTGGGAAAGCAGAGGGAAGATAGCCCAGGTGCGTAGGCCCCTGTACCCATGTGGGAGACCTGGATGAAGCTTCTGGCTCCGGGCTTTGGTTTGGCCCAATACCGGCCATTGTGACTATTTGGAGAGTGAACCTGTGGATGGAAGGTCTCTCTCTTTCTCTCTCTCTCTCTCTCTCTCTCTCTCAGCCCGTCTTTTGAATAAATAAAATATTTTTTTAAGAAAAGAGTTATTTATTTGAAAGGTAGAATGACAGATAGAGGAGGAGACAGATGATAGAGAGCTTTCATTCGTTGGTTTATTCCTCAAGTGGTCCAACAGCCGGGGTTGGGCCATAATCTGCTGTCTTCCAGTGAGTTAGTAGAAAGCTGGATTGGAAACAGAGCAACCAGCACTCAGTTTGGATGAAGTGGTGGCTTAACCCATTGCCCCACAATGCTAGTCCCTTGTATGGTGCTTTAACCTAGAATCTCCTAAAGTAGGTACTTTTTGATTTTTTTTTACTATTTATTTTTATTTATTTGAAAGGAAGAGTTACACAGAGACAGGGATAGAGAAATATATTCTATATGCTGGTTCACTCCCCAAATAGCCACAAAGCCAGGAGTGCAGAGTTTCTCCTGGGTCTCCCATGTGGGTGCAGGGGCACAAGCGCTTGGGTCATCTTTTGCTGTTTTTCCCAGGTACATTAGCAGGGAGCTGGATTGCAAAGTGGAGCAGCCAGGTCTCAAACTGGCACCCATATGAGATGCCGACATCGCAGGTGGTGGCTTACCTGGCTATGCTACAACAGTGGCCTCCAAAGTAGGCACTGTTATTGTGCCTGATTTACAAAGGAGGAAACCCAAGAATACAGAGTTTATGTATCTTGCCCTAGGTGACTCAGAAACTTTGCTCCAGAAATCATATGAGAGATCCTCAAAAAGTTTATGGAAAATGTGTATTATGAAAAATGTATGCCGGTGCCATGGCTCACTAGGCTAATCCTCTGCCTAGCGGCGCCGGCACACCGGGTTCTAGTCCCGGTCGGGGCGCCAGATTCTGTCCCGGTTGCCCCTCTTCCAGGCCAGCTCTCTGCTGTGGCCAGGGAGTGCAGTGGAGGATGGCCCAAGTCCTTGGGCCCTGCACCCCATGGGAGACCAGGAGAAGTACCTGGCTCCTGCCATCACATCAGTGCGGTGCGACGGCCGCGGTGGTCATTGGAGGGTGAACCAAGGGCAAAGGAAGACCTTTCTCTCTGTCTCTCTCTCTCTCACTGTCCACTCTGCCTGTCCGAAAAAAAAAGTATTAGATGTGGAACTTTTTGAATTAAGATTTATCTTAAGTGTATTTAAGTTAAGCAGTTAAGAAGCTGCAAGGGACGCCCGTGTTCCATATCAGAGTGCCTGTTTTGACTCATGGCCCTTCCCCTTCCCATCCAGCTTCCTGTTACTGCAATACCCTGGGAGGCAGCAGGTAATGACTCACAACTTGGGTCTCTGCCACTCACCTGGGAGATGTGGATTGAGTTCCAGACTCTTGACTTTGGCCTGGCCCAGCTGTGGCTGTTGCAGGCACTTGGGAAGTACACCAAGAGGATTAGAGATCTTTGTCTATTTCTCTTTCAAATAAAATGAATATAAATAAAAACTTAAAAAATCAAATAAGCTTATCTTTTAATTTCTTTTTTCTTAAGATTTATTTATTTATTTGAAAGTATTACACACAGAGAGAAGGAGAAACACAGAGAGAGAGAGGTCTACCATCCGATAGTTCACTCCCCAGATGGCCGCAACAGCTGGAGCTATGCCGATCTGAAGCCAGGAACCAGGAGCCTCTTCCGGGTCTCCCACGTGGGTGCAGGGGCCCAAGGACTTTGGGCCATCTTCTACTGCCTTCCGAGGCCATAGCAGAGAGCAGAATTGAAGAGGAGCAGCTGGGACTAGAACCAATATGCCAGCGCTTCAGGCCAGGACGTTAACCCGCTGCGCCACAGCACTGGCCCCTATCTTTTAATTTCATTTTTTGGAAGGATCCTTACACATTTACCCAGTCCACTATACAACCTCCTATGAATCTGTTAATTATATGGAGCCTATACATATTATTTATTTTTAAAAACATTGTATTTATTTGAAAGACAGAATAACAGAAAGAGAGAGAGAGAGAGAGAGAGAGACCAAAACACACACACACACACACACACACACACACACAGAGGGAGGGGGGGATGCAGAAAGATCTTCCATCTGCTGGTTCACTTCCCAAATGGCTGCAATGACTAAGCTAGGAACCTGGGAACTCCATCTGGGTCTCCCGCATGGGTGGCAGGGGCCCAAGCACTTGGGTCATCTTCTGCTGCTTTCCCAGGTGCTTTAGCTGTGAGCTGGATAGGAACAAGAGCATCTGGGACTCAAACTGGTGCTCTAATGTGGGAAGCTGGTGTCACAGGCAATTGTTTAACCTGATGCACCATAATGCTGAGACCATGTAAATATTTAATCTGAAGCTACTGTTGGAAAGGCTCGGACAAAAGCAAATCTCTTGAATCATATACTATTGCATGTTATAGGCTGCTTGGCCACTGGGGATTACCCTGTAAAAAAGACAATTTCTACTTCTGTGACTACTCCTTTGCCCTCTACTATCTACTTCTTGCAGTGTGGCAAGGTATAAAGACTGAAGCCTTGCCCATGCAATCCCAACTGATTCTCACCTTCCTGGAGCAGGGCTGGCCTCAAGTTTCCATCTTTAATCAAGGCAGCCTCTGGGGCTGATGCTGTGATGTAGCAGGTCAAGCCACTGCCTGCAGCGCCGGCATCCCCTATGGGCGCTGATTCAAGTCCAGGCAGCTCCACTTCCAATCCAGCTCTCTGCTACCATGCTTGGGAAAGCAGTGGAAGATGGCCCAAGCATTTGGGGCCCTGCACCCATGTGGAAGACCCAGAGAAAGCTCCTGGCTCCTGGCTTCAGATAGGCCCAGCTCCAGCCTTTGTGGCCATTTGGGGAGTGACCCAGTGGATGGAAGACCTCTCTCTCTCTAACTCTGCCTTTCAAATAAATAAATAAATCATTTTTAAAAAAATCAAGGCAGCCTTGAGACTTCTGAATTAGTAACCATTCAGTCCTGGCCACTTCCTCTAGTTGCATAGCTTGCAGATTCTGCTTTCCGTGGCGTGACCTGGAGTGGCACCCCCTTCCCTCTGCTAGTCCTGGAAGAAGAGACCTTGCTGCAAGGAAAACACTCCAGTCCAGAGGCTTCTCCTGGAAGGCTTCTTTGAAGGTGCTCCCCGTGCCTGCCTTCATCTGTGACAGCCCTGACTTCTCCTGGTCTGTGAGAAACTGAATCAGAGCACAACTCCAAGCACAAACAAGGGGGACGTGACCCCTGCTCAGGATGCAACCCTTCAGGCAATGGCTCCCAAATGCTCCCACCTTTCCCAAGGCAAATCTAGGGGTGACCTTGTTTTTCCCTTTAACTCTTCTCCTTCAAGGCAAACCCAGAGTTTAATTTGGACTTTATTTCATTCTTTTAAAAAGATTTTATTTGCACAATGCAGGCCATGAGCAACGCGCAGCTATAGTCTGGGTGCACAATGGGCCGTGACCCTCTGCCTGTCCTTGGTCCTACCCATGTGACCAGTGAAGTTCATCCATGACAGTGGCGGCCGCGGGTGGAGCAGCAGGGTCTGCAGCTGACCCCTACACATGTCCCCGAGGCTCTGAGGAAGAATGGCAGCTGTGGGCAGCCTGCTTGGGTAAGCACGGCCGTCCAGGCCCCTGGAGTACCATCAGGAGAGGGCTGCATCATCACCCTTATGCCTTGGTCACCTCCGTGGCCTCTTCCTGGCTATGAGGTCAGAGCTGCCCAGCCACGGCCTGGATCTTCTTCATGAGCCTGGAGGCATATCCCTCCCCTAGAATGTGTCACCAAGCTGTCAGGTTCCTGCGGCTGGGCAGTTCTCTGTCATGGCTGACGGGTACCAGCCGGCACTGCCTGCCCAACACCATCATGTTTGTGTGCAGCCTGCTGTGGCAGACTGCCATAAAGACGGCTGTCCCCAAGCCCCGCTGCCTGCACGCGTCCCCCTGGTGGGCTCACAGCAGCAGAGCCTCTCTCACTGGCCTACCCGCGCGCCTCTACCCCTCTACCGGGTGCTGCTGGTCAAGCAAGATGGCTCCACCATTCACATCTGCTGCAGGGAGCCACGGTGCATGCTGGTGATGCCCCTGGACCTGGACACCCTGTCTGCCAAGCAGCGCCGGGCCTGGCTCCACAAGCTTGGGGCTCAGCTCCCACCCAAGGAGGAGGACTCAGAGCTGGCCGACGACTTTGACACGGAGCATTACAGATGGGTTTGGAACAGGAAGTGAAACGTGACTTATGGCTGTCTGCTGATGTGATGAGGACTGCGGGGATGTCTGTACATGTGATGCATTCGCAAGCCAAAAAAAAATTTATTTATTTATTTATTTGAGAGGTAGAGTTACAGACAGAGAGGGGAGACATTGAGAGAGGTCTTCCATCTACTGGTTCACTCCCTAAACGGCCACAATAGCCAGAGCTGGGCAGATCCGAAGCCAGGAGCCAGGAGCTTTTTCTGGGTCTCCCAGGGACTTGGGCCATCTAATGCTGTCCCAGGCCAGAGCAGAGAGCTGGATTGGAAGTAGAGCAGCCGGGACTGGAACCGCGCTGCAGGCGGAAACTTAGCCTACTATGCCACAGCGCTGACCCCCTTTATTTCACCCTTATAAAAATGTTGATGTACAATGTCTGCATGTAATACATTTTAATTTAGCAAACACTTTGGTAGCCTGCCCTCTGCTGTGCGGTGTTTTACAAATATTGCCTCATTTGATTTATTTAATAAACTTCAATCTGAATCAACAGGGTGGTGTGGGGGCTTTCTGGAATCTACCTCCCGGCCATCCTCCCGTTTTTCCGCAACGGAGAAGGGCAGGAGGGAGCGGAGGAATTAAGCCGCTCCGGAGGGCACGACCGCCTCCCACTTCCCGCAGCTGTCTGCCAGGTTTGACCTTCTTCCCCTGGCTAAGGGCAGGGGGTCTTCAGCCTTCGCGCAGATCCGTCGGTGGGAGGGTGGGTGGCTTTTTCCGGGTCACCGGCACCCCCTCTCTGCTCGCAGCCACCTGCTCGGGTTCCATGCCGGGACCTGGCTCCCTGGAGGGCGTCAAGGACATTCCAATCCTCCCACTACCGCGCGGATGTCACGGGGGGGGGGGGGCGCAACTGCTCTCGCCTCGCAGCTCCCAGCTTTGACCCGCTTTCTTCTCGGCCCCTAGCGGCCCGGGCCAAGCCATCGAGGCAACCAAGGGTTGGTGAATGGTTTGGAGGCTGTTTGTTTACACCCCACCCGTGGGCGAAGCCGCATCTCCAGCGACAGCAGCACTCTATGGGGCACCGTCCGCGCTCTTTAGTAGACAATCGAAAGTCGAGCGGCCAAAATGCCTCCTCGCCAGACCAAATATGGTCACAAGCGCTAAGCAGCCTCCCGGGGAAAGGCTGGCCTTGTTGGAGTCTCCCCGCGCCGGGGCGTACCCCGGCCCGCCCTCGGGCAGCATCGTGGGTCAGCGCGGCGCTGCGGGTGCTCTGCAGGCCTGGGCGCCGGGCTCCAGGAGAAGGCGCAGCGCCCTGGACCGGCCCTTCCCCAGCCTGGGCCCCTCACCCGCCTGCCCTCCGCCACCCCCAGCCTGGGTTTCGGTCCACAACCCCTTGATTAAACAGGCTCGGGCCACTTTCCCTTTGATCCCGCCCCAAGTCGGTGGTAAACTAAAAGGAATGCAGATCCGGAGCTCCGCGGGAGAGGTCCGCGCGGGCCGGGAGGAGTGGGCGGGGGGCACCCGTCTCCTCTTACCCTGTGAAGTACTCAACACGCCCAGGGGTTTCTGGAGCCGGGGGTGGGAGGAGGAGGAAGAGGAGGGGCGAGCGGGGGCAGGCAGGCAGGCTCAGGACCTGCAGGTCATGCATAATTCAACAGCTCAACTTTCGGGCCCGCCTCTTTCCTGGGGGTGGGAGTTTGCTCCAAACTTTGTTTATGGGACAGTCCCGGAGCTGCTGCGGCCGCGCTGTCGGCGTCTCCTCCGCCTCCTTCTCGCCGAGAGCGAGCGCCTGAGGCCAGCTCGGGGGATGTGAGAGCCGAAGCCCCTGGGCTGCCAGGCACCGAGTCGGCTCGGTTTCTGCCAGTCGGGCCCCGGCTCCAGCTCCGCACGCGCGGGACGCAGCCGGGCGACCGAGGCCAGACGGCAAGTTCGGGCGGGACGGCGGCCGCCGCGCACTCGGGCTCGGCTTCGCTGCGCGCCCAGGTAGTGCCCGCTGGAACGCGCCCGCTTGCCCGGCACGGGTCCAGGGCGCCGGGCTCTTCTGCCTTCCGGAGTCGGGCTGGCGTGGGGTTGGCTCGGGGTGAGACTTCCCGGGGGCGGGCGGGGGCGGTGGGGAGGTGGGCTGCAGAGGTTGCCGGCCGCGGAAAGCTGCGCCCTATCCTCTGCCACCAGCAGTGCAGCAACGTCCGCCATCCCCACCCTGAATCCCACCCCGCCCTTCCTTCTCCTATTCCCGGTAACTTCTTTGCTTCAAGAAAGTTGCATAATTCCCGAGGTCAGGAGGGACCCCTCCCCCACCCGGCCGAGCGGCTGGTATCCCGAGGCCGACACCGACCCGTCCTCTCCCTTCTCTTCCTCCCAGCCCGTCCTCCAACTCCGATAAGAGACTGACCTCCCTTCTCCCTGCAGAAGATGAATCCGGCCTCGGCGCCCCCTCCGCTCCCGCCGCCCGGGCAGCAAGTGATCCACGTCACGCAGGACCTCGACACGGACCTCAAAGCCCTCTTCAACTCTGTCATGAACCCCAAGCCCAGCTCGTGGCGGAAGAAGATCCTGCCCGAGTCCTTCTTCAAGGAGCCGGATTCGGGCTCGCACTCGCGCCAGTCCAGCACCGACTCGTCGGGCGGCCACCCGGGGCCCCGGCTGGCCGGCGGCGCCCAGCACGTCCGCTCACACTCGTCGCCCGCGTCCCTGCAGCTGGGCACCGGCGCGGGCGCCGCGGGCAGTCCCGCGCAGCAGCACGTACACCTCTGCCAGCGCTCCTACGACCTGACCGACGAGCCGCCGCTGCCCCCGGGCTGGGAGATGGCCTACACGGCCACTGGCCAGAAGTACTTCCTCAAGTAAGTCGACCCGGAGCCGAGCGGGCACAGAATCCCCGCGTCCTCAGGGCCCGCGCGCTTTGTCGTGTGTGCGTGTGTGAGTGTGAGATGGTGCGTGACCTCCCACGGATCTTGCCCCCTCCCAGCCCCCGAATCCCGAAGGCTGGATGTACGGACTGTCTGGGTGTGGACATACTTGTAAGGGACCAGGGGCAGAGCAGAGTCTTGTAAGGTTCATTGGCGTTCTGGAAGAACCAAGGAGAAAACAAAATTGTGGCGGGGAAATGCTCACGGGACACGTCTGTACTTCGCCCTGAATCTGGAGGACTGAAACAGGTTCCCCCTAGCACAGAGCCTTCGCGCCTTGCGGGACGGAGGGGGATCCTGTGAGAGAGAGGCTGGGAGGCTCAGGGCGGGAGGGGCCGTTGGCTTCTAGGGGGAGCAAGCTGGGAAAGGGAGCAGCCGGGTGCAGCACCCATCAGGGTGACGTAATGACCACACAGCACAGTGATGTAATTAGCAACTGGGGTGAAGTCCCCGTGGGCTGGCCTAATCAATTGTGTGGAAATTGGGTCAGGAGTTTTATGAGGTTGCGCTGGGTCACCTAAAATACCATCACATCGGCAGCCTGCTGCTTCTGCCCTTAGCCTTGTTCCAGCCTTCTGTTACAATGGGTTGGAAGTTAGGTTCGAGTTTTCTAATTAGAGCCTACAGGAAAATACATTCTCAAACACTGGAGGTTATTGTTTCCGTTGTGGTACCCTACGATAATTACATTCCTGAGGAGAAACCAAGTTGGAACTTGAAATGTAGCTAGTGAGGTCATGGAGGGTCAGGCTAGCAAAGGCCTGGGTGGAAATGGTGCCAGCTGGGCCACTTGGTTCAGGATTGCCTGCACTTGATTGCACTCTCTGCCAGTGAGAAAAACTCCTCTTCCAGGAACTTGCCTTACAGTTCATTTAAACGCCTGTGTTCCTTTGGTGGAAGAGCTTTCGTTCAAAAGTTGTTCTAAAACATGATGGCCCACTTAAAAAATATTATTCAAGTCCTTCTTTGGCACTCATATGGGGCACTTTGATTGCCATGAGAGAACTCTATGCATGCACACACGCAGATGGGTGAGGTTTATTACAGCCAACTCTGGGGTTCAGACTGGTGACCAATTTTTGTTCCTTCCCCTCCAAAAGCTGTTTGACAGCTTATGCAAGGAGGAGTTCATTTTTGTTTCTGGGGTTGGTGCGGTGCTGAGATCCAGAAACAGACTTGATGGCCGTTTATTTATTCCAAAGCTGGTCTTCCTGGGGTTGAACAGTCATGTGGACAAGGAGCTCAGTGCTTTGACTTCTGCATGGCTAATGGAAGTCTGGTAGGTGATGTCAAGACATGACATTTTTCTAAATCTGATATTGTTCCCAACAATGACACTGATTCCTATAGGCTGTCCTAATCCAAAGCAGCTAGCGGCCTGTGTTACTTTTGCCCAGGCAAATGCAGTTTTGCTTATTTTATTGTGACTTTTATAGAAATGGAAGAATAATAAATATAGATAGAAGCAGACTCTATAATTTCGGGGGGTTCTTTTTGGTCTCAAATAGTTTTCCAAAATCAAAAAGAATTAAAAAAATAGTTTTCCATCTGTTTATGAACACACATACAAGGTATGTGTTCAGTGTAACTGATTATTAGGAATATGAAATAAGAGTTGCGCTTGCCTAAGTAAATGAAAAAGATCCCTAAACAAAAGCAAAAAATTAATTTTATAATGTGTTTTGAACGATTGGAGTAGCTCAGAACTTCTTGTGAATTAGGGCAAAAATGGAAGTTAAGTCTTGGGTTTGGAGTAAATTGCTGCTGTCCCCCCCCTCCCCCCAACCATAGCCACTCCCTAACCCAGAGCAGGGGCCATCTTCATTTCACTCTGCATGCTCTGGGAAAATGACAGCTGAACAAAGTGTGTCTGTAGTCGATTGGCTTGGGCTCATGCTGTCCTGGATATCTTTCTATCTATCTATTTAGATATAAATGTATATATCTATATATATGTATATATATAGACATATACATATATATGTATATATACATATAGATATATAGATATATACATATATACACAGATATATATATGTGTATATATATGTATATATCTCTATATATTTGCCAAGTAACTTAGAGAATTTAAGAAATTAGGTCATTGTGACTACTGTCTTTCAGAATAAGCAACCTGCCAAGAGGTCTCTGAGTTTCTTTGAGTGCTTTGTTTAAAATTGGAATAATGTAAATGGTATGTGTTACATTTGTTAGACTTGAAAGGCAATGTATTTTGGTGGATTAAGTAGAACCTTGAAAGATGGTGGCAACCGACCCTGTAAGTGGAGCTAGCAGAAGAATCCTATTCAGTCTTTTGGGAGTTGAGGGCTTTATCAACCAGAAATCAGAGACTTCAGGATCGACAAGGGACACTTCTGCCTCTTTGGCTAGGAAAGGACGAGAGTGTGACTTGGGGAAGGTCACTGGTAGTTTAGCGGTAGACCTTGGACTGTTTCTGTCTACTTACAGAGTTTTCCTTCCCTCCCATTCCCTCCTTTTCCCCGTGTCACTTCCCTAGACAAGCTGTATGTTTTATGGGAAACAGAATCTGAACATCTGAGCTTTCAAAAGCCTTTTGTTGTTTTCTCCTGTAAGATTGTTTCAGGCATATGATGCAATCACATCCTGGGACCTCCCAAAATTACCTTTTCTGAGTATTCACAGCTTTCTTGGTGTCCAGCCATTCCTTTAGGGTAATATGTAACGATGGAAAAACACAAGGCCTCTGAGCACTGCTGCTTCTCTGATGTTCCTGGATCAGCTTGGGATGCATAGATGTGGAGCTCTACCCATTCTGGCACACTGACTTTCCACATTGATCCCATTCAGTTTTTTAAAAATTTGTGGCTATGCATGCTTTTTGTACATAAATCAGAAAATGGAGAATTATAAAGAAGAAATGATCTAGCTTCAGATAAATTTTCCATCTTTATTCTTTTTTTAAAAGATCTATTTATTTATTTGAATGGCAGAGTCACAGAGAGAGAGAGAGAGAGAGAGAGCGAGAGAGAGAGATCTTCCATCCACTGGTTCACTCCCCGGATGGCTGCAATAGCCGGACTGGGTCAAGCTGAAGCCAGTACCAAGGAGCTTCTTCTGTGTCTCCTACATGCGTGCAGGGGCCCAAACACTTGGGCCATCTTCTGCTGCTTTCCCAGATGCATTACCAGAGAGCTGGATCAGAAGTAGAGCAGCAGGAACTTGAACTGGTGCCCATGTGGGATGCTGGCATCGCAGGTGGCAGCTTTACCAGCTATGCCACAGCACCTGCCCTGCTATTCACTTCTTAAACAAAGACTGTTTAACATTGCCAAAGCCCTGAGCCTGTAACCTATATTAATGCTTTGCCTAAAAGTTGACCTTATCTATATTATATGTGATTCCTAAAGTTGCAAATCCATGGGCCACATTTATGTAATTCTACTTCTATAAAATGAGTCATCACCCTATGTGTTAGGGTTGGATTTTAGGTTTGCACATTGGGGTCTGCTGTCAGGATTTCTGGGCCAATCAAAAGATGATATGTCCAGCACCAAAGTCAATGGATTTCTTCTTAGTCTCCACCAGTTGTTTTGCATTCATGTCACCTTTGAGTTTGTTCATATTTGCATGAGGACTTTCTTAAACACTTTTTTCTGGTGTTTCTAATTGCTTTTTCATTTGTTTATGTACTGTTTGTCTTTATTATGCTCTCAGAAGTTTTCTAGACAACTCACTCCATCTCTTCCATCAACTCTCCCTGAGCTTTGTGTTCAGCTTCCCTCATCTTGCTGTGCTGTCTGCGTTGACTGCTCTTCAGGCTCCCAGCAGAGTTGTCATCCTGTCCTCCTGGGACGGCTCTCCAGGGCTGAAAGTGCTGTTTCCTTTTCCCATGTCTTCTTTCTTGGTTCATGCCCTCATTTTGCCACAGGCCATGCTGTAGTAACCTCTTAAGGAATGCTTTTGAGAGATAAATTTTTGAAATCATTTTCCATCTAAACGTATTTGCTTTAAAAGTTGTTCTCATTTTCCTTAAAAGAGGAAGTGATCCTGGCTTGTTTTTTTTTCTTTACCATTGGATGACAGGATCAGGGAGCTATTTTCATGAAGGGCCTTTTGTCATTCAAAATATGTTGTCTGCTACCTCAGTTTCCTTATGTGTAAAATGAGAATAGTAATACTTATCTCAGGGTGGCTTGAAAGATTAGATGAGATAACGCATTTACAGCATCTGCCACATAATAGATGCTTGGGACAAGTTAGTTCTTGCCTTCCCTTCCCCTCTCTCAACTCACGTACATGGTTCACTTGGCCAAAATCAGATGCAAAAACCGTGGCAGTAGTGTAGGTGGTTTTCTTTCTTTCTTTTTTTAAGATTTATTTAATTATTTGAAAGGCAGAATTACAGAGAGGGAGAGACAAAGTGGGAGAGATCTTCCATCTGCTGGTTCACTCTCCAGATAGCTGCAACAGCTATGCTTGGGCCAGGCTAAATCCAGGAACCAGGAGCTTCTTCAGGGTCTCCCACGTGGGTGCAGGGGCCCAAACACTTGGACCATCTTCTGCTGCAATCCCAGGCACATTAGCAGGGAGCTGGATTGGATGTGGAGCAGCTGGGGCTTGAACTGTTGCCCATATGGTATGCTGGCATTGCAGGTGATGGTTTTACCAAGTATGCCACAATGTCAGTTCTGGGTAGGGTGATATTCAACTCCTGATTATAAGTATGGCTCTGAATGACAGTCTGGATCTGTCTGGAATTAAAATTTGCTTTTTAAATGTAAAGTAAAGATTTCCTGTTTTAAGAAAACCTACATGGAAATGTCCCCCATGGGTGCCCTGTCACTTGGGCGTCTTGAGCAGAGGGTGCCCATCCTCAGGAGTGTCTACTTTTTGTTGTTTGGAACCTTCCTTGTAACTTCTAGTTGGGTCATTTTTGTGCCTGAGATGGGGGAGTGGACAGCGGTGGAGAAGGGGGAGACAAGAGGGTGGGAGGGAAGGTAGTTGACATTTGCTGATGACCTGCTCTTTGCCAGACAAGGCTGTGAGCTGAGTCAGCGCTTCCCGAAGAGATAGCACCGCATCACATGCCCGTGGAAACGTTTTTCACAACCCTAGGTGGTTGTGTACGTCGTCTCCCTTTAACCCTCCCAGTGGCCCTGTGAAAAGGTACATGTTATTATCTCATTTTACTGTTGAGGAGACTGAGGCTCAATGAGGTTGAGTAAATGTTCCGGGGTCACATAACAGGTGAGTGGCAGAAATGGGATTTGAATTGCGTGATTCTAAAACCTGTGTTCCTACCCTCACGCCATGCTGTCTCACGCCAATTATGTGCTCATAATTAGCCCCTGTAATTAAATATTCTTGGTGACCAGATAACTCTGGAGTGGTGGATGGACCATTAGCATCTGCTTCTGAACTGAGCCTGAGTGATCCTATTTGGAGCTCTTGTTGATGATGATGAGATGATGATGATGAGAAACCAAGCAAACCAGAAACGGGTAATATACCTTCAGTGAGTGCCTATTTATATATTTTATTCTCATCAAGATTTCCACCAAATAAATCCACATCTTGTGGCAGTAAACACAGACGTGACAGGAAGGGTGGATGACGGAGGTCCCCATCCATCTCAGCTGATGGCAGGAGAGGGTGCTTTGCTGGGGACTTGTTGACAGTGCTAATTAGAACATGTTGGTAGTTTCAAGAAGAAAGACAGCAATGTTGCTGCTAAACTGCTTTTATAATTGCAGCAACTGAAAATACATGGGGATCTTGAAAAGTTTTTGGAAAATGTATATTATGAGAAAACTATCCATGGATTTCAAAAATTTTTTTTCCACAAAAAAAATCTTTTAATTTCATTTTCCCACAAACTTATTGGCAAACCCTTGTACAGTGTGGTAGAGATCTGAGGCAGCGTTGAGTCTGTTTGCTGACAAACTCAGTTCAGACTTAGAGAATTTGCAACCTTGAATCTCAGCTCTTTCTTCCCCTTCCTACCTGAGTTAAACACCTAACCAGAGGCAGGGGTTACGGAATCAGCCAATCTAGGGGGCAGTTTTTTTTCTTTTTTAAGAGTGATTTGGGAGAATGAGGACCCAGTAATTAGCTCATCATCCGAGGGCTAATTCTGAGAGGATGGCTCTTCTGCTCACTGTGGGGCACCATGAAGACTTTCTTGCGTGGAAATATTGGTAAAGCAGTGTTTTCCACAGTGTATTCTTTGAAACTCTTGTGGGTTCAGATGTTTTGTGAACAAAGAATTCCTAGACCAATAGGTCTGGGGATATGTGGCATGCTCTATCTTGAAGATTCACAATATACATTGAAAATACAAAAGTTCCTTTTTGGAAGAACTATTTTCGTTTAACCTAGTATTTCACAAACATGTTTGAATGAATTCTGAATGTTTTTATTTTAACCATCATCTGTTAGAACACACATAGGGGCCGGCGCCGCGGCTCACTAGGCTAATCCTCTGCCTTGCGGCGCCGGCACACCGGGTTCTAGTCCCGGTCGGGGCGCCAGATTCTGTCCCGGTTGCCCCTCTTCCAGGTCAGCCCTCTGCTGTGGCCAGGGAGTGCAGTGGAGGATGGCCCAAGTGCTTGAGCCCCACACCCCATGGGAGACCAGGAGAAGCACCTGGCTCCTGCCATCGGATCAGTGCGGTGCGCCGGCTGCAGCGCGCCGGCCCTGGCGGCCATTGGAGGGTGAACCAATGGCAAAGGAAGACCTTTCTCTCTGTCTCTTCTCTCTCACTGTCCACTCTGCCTGTCCAAAAAAAAACCAAAAACCAAAAAACAAAACAAACAAAAAAAAAAAACCCACCACACATAGGGATGTTCTACAGAACACACTTTGGGAAATCTTTTTGTGAACTTCATTATTATTTTTAGAGTTGGACTTTCATGTTTGAGGCTATTTAAAGTTTTTCTTTTCAGTGTGCTTTATGTGTATTTGCTGTATTTTCAAATATTTATTTGAAAGGCAGTTGCAGAGAGAGGGGGAGTGGGAAAGATGGAGAGATCTTCCATCTGCTGGTTCACTCCCCAAATGGCCACAACAGCTGGGGCTAGGCTGGACTGAATCCAGGAGCCAAGAACTCCATTTAGATCTCCCATGTGGATACCAAGGACTCAAATACTTGGACTGTTATCTGCTTCTTCCCAGGTGTATCAACATGGAGCTGGATTGGAAGTGAAGTAATTCAGACACTCTGACATGCTATGTGGGCATTGTAAGTGGTATATTAACCCATTGTGTCACAACACCAGCCCCTTCATTTATATTTTTTTATTTATAGTCAACTACCAAAGCATACAAATATGTGAGATGCTAAGAATGTAGCAGTAAGAAATGACTCAAGGGGCCAACGTTGTGGCATACTGGGTTAAGCTGCCTTATATGACGCCAGTGTCTCATAGGGGGACCAGTTTGAGTCCCCATTTCTCCACTTCCAATCCAGCTCCCTGCTAATTTGCCTGGGAAAGCAGAACATGGCCCAAGAGCTTGGGCCCCTGCACCCACATGAGAGACCTAGAAGAAACTCCTGTTTCCTGGCTTCAGCCTGGCCCCACCCGGGCTGTTGGAGCTGTTTGGGGTGTGAACCAGAGGATGGAAGATCGCTTTGTCTTCTCTCTCTAACTCTGCCTTTCAAATTAATTAATTAATTAATCTGGAAAAAAAAAAGAAGTGGCTCTAAATATCATACAAGTGGGGTGTAGAGGAGAAAACCAACAATTATAGTCCAGTAGCAGTGTAATAGTATCATAATCCTAAGGGAATGCCATTCTCAAGTACGGCAGACTCCTATGAGGAATTCCAGTGTGGGAGCTTGCAAGGCAAATGACTAAAAAAGAGAAAAAAAAAAAAATCCCAACATTTCTTCCTTGTCAAGTACCTACCGTGGGCCAGGCACTGTGCTTGGATGACACAATATCAATTAAGACAAATAACCATTTTTGCCCTCATGGAGATGACAATACAAGAAAGAGAAGTAAGAAAATGATCCAGTTATAGTACAGTACTAGTGATTGCATCACAGTCCTGATTTTAGAGACTCTACACATGCATGTGAATGTGTGTTTATGTGTGTGTGTTGCATGAGAGAGGAAGACAGAGAAGAACACATCAAATATTGGTGATTTCTGAAATTATGGATGATATTTGTTGCCTGATTTCTACATTTCTGGAGAGAATAGGCCTTGTACTACAGTAAACAAGTATTTCTCCTTATATCAGTGTGGGGTTGTAAAGAATGTAAGGGAAAGCAAGCAAGCAAGCAAACAGCAAGTGAGGCTTGAAGGTGGAATTGGCCAGGTATGGGGCTGTGTAAGTGGCAGCTCAGTGTCTGACAACTGGGTTTCATGGTACTAAATGGGTGTTCTTTGGGAGCTGCTTGGGTGTTTCTTACTTTGAAATGAACTGAACACAGCAGTTGCTCAAATCTCAACGAAAATCGGCACAAAAGTCCCCTGAGGATAAAAAACAGGCTAGTGACAAATCGTGGGTGACATAGATTTCTTTCGCCTTGTTCTTAGTTGCATGTGCTCCTTCCTGGGCTTTAGCCTTTAGTCAGTGTCCCGTGGAGACGCAGCAATGATGAATAAGAAAGGAAAAGATGATGTTCGCCTGCTCAGCGTGAAGGAATGTGCACTGAGTGCGCAGGGCCGTGCCGGGCGCAGTACACACCTGTGCAGGGTCATGCCTGTCTTTATTCCAGGTTTAGGCGCTCATGGGGGCTGCCCTTTCCTGAAAGATCTGGAGCTGATTCAGCTAATTGACAGTGAAAAGTCCTTGAAGCCCCCTGAGTGCTAGAATCGTGTGTGCGAGGAAGTGCGGGATTGACCTGTCACCTCAAGCAGCCGGCAGGCTCTCTGGGGAGAGAAGAGGAACCCAGATAAAACTAGCTAACAGCTGGTTCCAACCTGTGTGGTGCTGCAGCCTCCAGCAGCTGCACCCGGCAGGGGTGGCTTGGGAGCCCTCTTGAGGTGTGCCCTAAGTCAGTCATTTTATTATGGTTACAGGTCCGAAACGTGTAACCGTGCTGAACAGAAGTTTGTTTCTCCCACTGGCTGTGTTCCCTCCAGCCTGGAACTTGGCACAAGCCGATGCCTGTGCCTAGAACATTATTTCCCTGCTTTTGGTCTGGTTAACACCATTGCTGCTTTTAGGCAAGGGCTTCTGGCCTGCCACAGGCTCTACTTTTAGATGCTCTTGCTACCTCTGCCATAGCTCCCTGAGTTTCAAAGCCATAGCACTGGTCCCCACGCGGACAAGAATGGTGTTTGTTTTGCTTGATGTTGTAAAACCTGGATGTGATGCATGACACACAGTAGGTATTTAATAAGGAAGAGATCCTGTAATTTTTCTTTGTAAATATTTATTTATTTATTAGAAAAGCGAGTAACAGAGAGAAGGAGAGATCTTCTGTCTGGTGGTTCACTCCTTAAATGTCCAGATTGAAGCTAGGAACCTGAAACTCCATCTGATTCTCCCACATGGATGGCAGAGACCCAAGCACTGGGCTGTTATTTGCTTTCCCAGGTGCATTAGTAGGAAGCTGGATTGGAAGTCGAGCAGCCGGAACTGGAACCAACACTGATATGGGATGCTAGCACCAGAAACAGTGGCTTTACCCACTGTGTCACAATGCTGGTCCTAAAATCGTGTGATTTTTCTTTTCTTTTCTTTTTTTTTTTTTTTTTTTTGAAGATTTATTTTTACTTATTTGAAAGAGTTACAGAGAGAGAAGTCTTCCATCAGCTGGTTCACTCTCCAAATGGCCACAATGGCTGGAGCTGAGCTTATCCAAAGCCAGGAGCCAGGAGCTTTTTCCGGGTCTCCCACGTGGGTGCAGGGCCCTAAGGACTTGGGCCATCTTCTGCTGGAACATAAGAGGAGCAGCTGGGACTCGAACCAGCGTCCATATGGGATGCTGGTGCTTCAGGCCAGGGCTTCAGCCCAGTGCACTACAGCACCAGCCCCGGCCCCTCTCCCCTCTTTTTTGGCCATCTTTTGGTCATTTGCCTTGCAAGCTTACACACTGGAATTTCTGATAGAAATCTGCTGTGCTTGAGAATGTAATCGCATCATGTCTGTGCTCCTTGGACTGACAGTTTAGAATGGAAGTTCCAATTTTGGGATCGCAGAAGGTTCAATGTTCAGAGAAGTCTCGGTAAAGGAGGTAGGACATAGATGGAGTCCTGAAAAATGGGAGAGATGTAGTGGGTAAGCAGTCAGCCCTTCCTGGAAAGAGGGAATGGAAAGAAATGCAGTGTCTGAAGTGATGAGGGTGCGTTTTTCGGGCCAAGGAGAGTCTGACTTGTCTGGGTTAAAAGATAAGTGCTGACTGCCAGATGACCACACATCCCAGATCCTTTTAAACCTTCTGCTGGGAAACAACCTCCCTACCTCTTGCTTTTGAAATACACCAATCCTAGCTTTATCTGAACACGGCGTAGGAGTCCATCAGTGTCCCCTGTGTTGACATCTTACTAGTTGTTTAGAGAACCAAGCATTTTATACTGACTTAAAAGATTGTGAGAATGATTGAGCCTTTCGCAACAATTCCCCTACCCATCTGCCATAACTTCAGCTTAGTAAATGTAGCCTTTGCTCTCCACGGCTGTGGGGTACCAGCTTAACCCTTGACTCAAGGCCTGCCCCCACTGAATCTGCCATGTCTGCTTATAAATGAATAACTTTTGAGTCTAGTTCCAAGAATACTGTCATGTGGCTTTTGGATAGTTTCTCTGAGTTTGAGCAACTGGGCACAGACGAAATTAAGATTCTGAAATCACAGTCCTCCTTACCAAGGCCCACGGAGGCCCTGTCCCCAGACCATGCCTCGCCTGAGCAGCCAGTGGCCTCCCTCTCCAGTACATGCTTTCTAAACTCACAAGTTAGTGCCTGCAGATGGCCTCTGAAAATTAAAAGAAAGAAATTTTTTGAGTTAGTCATAAACAAAGCAATTAAATAGCACAAAACATACACTGTGAGAAATCTTTCTTTTATCCCGTCCCTTCTCCCAGTGCCCCCTCCAGAGCCAAGGTTTCTTTCTTTCTGTTTTTGTTTTGTTTTATTTATCTGTTGGAAAGTCAGAGTTACACAGAGACAGGAGAGTCAGAGAGAGAGAGAGAGAGAGGTCTTCCATCCACTCCCCAGTTGGCTTCAACGGCCAGAGCTAAGCCCATCTGAAGCCAGGAGCCAAGAACTTTTTCGGGGTCTCCCATGTGGGTGCAGGAGCCCAAGGACGTGGGCCATCTTCTCCTGTTTTCTTAAGCCAGAGGAGAGAGCTGGATGGGAAGTGGAGCAGCCAGGACTCGAATGGGCACCCATATAGGATGCTGGCACTGCAGGTGATGGCTGTACTCGCTACACCACAGCGCTGGCCCCTAGGGTTTCTTTCTGTCTTTCCTGAGAAATTGAGTATAAGCATGTATGTCTGTATGTAGTAAATGCGTGTGTCCACCTAGACCATTTTCAGTACAGTACACATGGTCGTGAGCTGTTCACATTCTTCAGGACCTCCCCTTTTTTCCCTAATTATATCATGGAGCCCATTAATCTTCTGTACATAAGTATCTGCTTTACTTCTTTTTTTTTTTTTTCAAAAAAAAACTGGTTCTCTACTGTCCAACATTAAATTTGCTTCTGATTTTCTCTTTTTAATGCTGAAGATCACAGATGCCCAAATACCAATGGAGGGAGCAAAATGGGGAGTAAATTCTTCTGATCTTCCTCAATAGAAGTATCTTTTTCACTAGCTTCTCTGTTAACAAATTTGTCTGTTGTCTACTATCAGGAGTCTGCTTATCTTACTCAAGGGTGTTACACAGGTCTGGCCAATGGATGCCCAGAGTGGTTGGCATGCAAGTGTGAAGTGGGTGCTCATATATCAGTGCTACTCAAATTGTGGTCCCTGGGCTGAATCGGTACGCAGCTGTAACTGGCTCCCGAAGGGCTGGGTTATAGACATCAGAGTGTTTGGCAAAATGGCATTGCCGTGACATTCGAGCTCCTGATCAGTGGAATTGTCTTGTGAAACAGGGTATTTTGGGTGTGTCAGACTTGCGTGCTGAGTCACATGTGGTCTGAGCTGTGTACATCGCATCCACGACAGGACTGTCTTGACAGAACGGCTGTTCACCAAACTATCAGGCAGTTTGAAAAGCGCTGATCTGTTTCTCCCTCCCTCCCTCCTCCTTCCCCTCCCTCTCTTCCTTCCTCTTTTCCATCTTTTTACCAATCATTTTATTTTTCCATCCATCTTTATGACTATTTTACCTGTCAAATCAAGCAATCAATTAACCACACCTATCATTAATTTTAGACTAACCAGTCTAAGAAGTTGAATAATAAGTGTCAATATGAAATCAAACTGTACAGCATAGAGATTGTACTTTATCTGTTTTTGAGTACTTAGCACATCTTATGTCTTTGACCCCTACACTAACTCTGTCTCAGAAAAAAGCTTTGGCATACCTCAATTTTGAGCACTCCAGTTACATCCAGTTTCTGTTCTTTAGAGTGCCCAGCCTGCAAGCTTGCCAGCCACAGACTCAGGAATCAAAACACAGTGATGGGGAAAAAAATACACGTACTCGATTGTTTATTTAAAAAATATTCCTTTGTGATGGCTTTTCTGAAAATATTAAGATATGGTATATTTGCCTGTGAAAGACGTTTCAAAGATTGAGGGAGCAACTGTAATAAAACATCCAAAAGCAGACAATGCAAGAAATGATGAATATAACTAAAATGAACAACAGTACTTTTAGTGACTAGGTTTTATTTGGTGGGCTGTTAAAAATTCTGGCTTTTGGGGCTGGCACTGTGGCGCAGTGGGTTAACGCCCTGGCCTGAAGTGCTGGCATCCCATATGGGCGTCGGTTCTGTCCCGGCTATTCCTCTTTGATCCAGCTCTCTGCTGTGGCCTGGGATAGCGGTGGAAGATGGCCCAAGTCCTTGGGCCCCTGCACCCGCGTGGGAGACCGGGAAGAAGCTCCTGGCTCCTGGCTTCAGAACGGCTCAGCTCCGGCAGTTGCAGCCAATTAGGGAGTGAACCATCGGATGGAAGACCTCTCTCTCTCTCTGTCTCTACCTCTGTCTGTAACTCTGACTTTCAAATAAATAAAATAGATCTTTAAAAAAAATTCTGGCTTTTGTAATAAAAGTAATACACAGTAATAAAAAAGTTCAAACAGAACTGAAGGCTACAAAGTGAAGCGTTAACCCCGCCACCCTGACTCGGCTTCCTGAGGTTATTCCTCAAAACTAACCACTGTTGACTGTGTATCCTCTAAGGATCTATAATGTGTGTGTGTGGGTGTGTGTGTGTGGATTAAATTCTGGAGAACTTGGAGGTGACGTGGTGCAGCAGGTCAAGCCACCGCCTGGGAAAGCCGAGGAGGATGACCCAAGCCCAGGGGCCTTTCCACCCATGTGAGAGACCTGGATGAGGTTCCAGGCTCCTGGCTTCAGCCTGGATGAGCTCTGCAGCCATTTGAGAACTGAACCAGGTGATGGACGATCTCCCTCTCTCTCTGTAAATCTGCCTCGTAAATAAGTAGATAAATCTTTAAAAAAATTCTGGAGGATTGGATGTGACGACTGATGAGGAGTCTCCGGGTAAAAGGCCTTGTTGGAGAAATTGTTGTTCAGAAGCTGGGATTTGGTTTTGTGGATCAGGAAATTTATGTATTTGGGGCTCCAAAACTAATCAGATTTTAAATTTTTTACTTATTATTGAGATGCAGGATTAGGGGGCCAAGAGAGAGAGAGAGAGAGAGAGAGAAAAGGATGTCTCCCACGTGATGATTCATTCCCTGAATGGCTACAGCAGCTGGGGCTCAACCAGGCCGAAGCTGGGAGCCAGGGACACAATTCACGTCTCCCATGTGGGTGGCAGGAGCCCAACTACTTGAGCCATTGCTGCTGCCGCGAGGAGCTGGAGCCGGGCATTTAACTGAGTTGCTGTGATATGGGATGCAACTGGGTCCTAACTGCTCTGTTAAATGATTGCTCCTGGGGGTACAAATTTTACTTTCAGGGTCCTCAGAACTCATCAGCAGTGACTGAAATAGTCTCCATTCTGGAGTGAAGCCACTCACCAGAGTGATTTATGTATTGGAAAGTTGCTTTTGTAGGCCGGGAGAAAAGGAGTGAAATCATTTGAGAGGATTACATCAGGGTAGTGAGAGAAAGAGGTGAAGGAAGATTTGCAAATTGCTGGCTGTAAAATGACACAATGATGGTACCTCTGATTGTAGTAAGCAGTGCTGAGAGGGCTGGAAGCGGTGGAGAAGGTTGTCAACACGCTGAATTGGAGATGATTTTAAGATATCCAAAGGAGTTACCTGGTGGGAGGTGGGTACTGTATAATGAAGGGGCTTCAAAAAGCTCATGAAGTGAGTGGGCAATAGATGCAGGTTCCCTCGCAGCTTGGGATACTTGTACCCCATATCAGAGTCCCTGGGTTCAAGTCCTGGCTCCACGTCTGATCCAGCTTCCTGCTGATGTGACTCCCAATAGGCAGCAGCTCATGGCTCAAGTACTTACATGGGTCCCTGCCACCCATGTAAGAGACTCAGACTGAGTTCCTGGCTCTTCGCTTCAGATTTCTCTCTCTCTCTACCTTAAATATATATATATATATATACACACATATACATATATATATATAAACTGTTCATGGAAAATGTGTATTATGAAAAAACTGTTCTTGGATTTCACAGTTTTTTTACACCAAAATAAACATACCTTTTTAAAAAATATTTTTATCTATTTATTTGAAAAAGAGGGAGAGAGAGGGGAGATCTTCCATATGCTGGCTCATTCCCCAAATAGCCAAAACAACCAGGGCTGGGCCAAATTGAAGCCAGGAACTCCATCTGGGTCTCCCACCTGGGTGGCAGGGTCCCAAGCACTTGGGGCGTCTTCCACTATTTTCCCAGAAGCATTAGTATGGAGCTGGATTGCAAGTGGAACAGCCAGGACTCCAACCGAGGTTCTGATATGGGATTATGGCATTGCAGCAGCTGCTTAACCTACTGTGTCTCATTATTGGCCCCAAACTTATCTTTTAATACCACTTTTCCAACAACTTTCTGAAGCCCCCTCATATATTTGTAAGATTAGTCAAATGCACTTAAGGGGGGGCCCGTACTGTGGTATAGTAAGCTAAGCTTCCGGCCTGGGAAAGCAGTAGAAGATGGCCCAAGTGTATGGGCCTCTGCACCCACGTGGGAGACCTGGAGGAAGCTCCAGGCTCCTGGCTTTGGATTGGCCCAGCTCCAGCCATTGTGGCCATCTCTCCCTCTCTCTGTCTGTAACTCTCTCAAAGAAATAAATAAAATCTTTAAAAAAAAAAAATGCAGATACGGGTGAGATCCTTTTGAGAGAGGTTATCTCCATGGTGTCTTCCACAGTGGCTGCACCAGTTTACATTCCCACCAGCAGTGGATTAGGATAGCTTTTTTTCCACATCCTCGTCAGCATTTGTTGTGAAATCAGTGTTTTATAACTGAGATACGTTATAAGACTTGGGTAAAAATATTAGTCTAATTGATGTGATAATTACTTGCCATGAAGAAAATCAGACTCTGCTCTTAGCTGTGGCAAAGTCTTTGTCACAGTTGGTAGCACATGGGACTGCTACTACCAGGACTCATTATACAGCCATAAAAATAGCAGATTATATTTGGAGAATACCAGTTAAAACTTTATGGCTTAGAATATTAAGTAACTAGTTTTCAGGAAAGTGTGTATCTTTCCTCTCTTTGCTAGAACTGATTTGGATACTTGGAAAGGGGGTTCTGGGATTAATGCTGGTAAATTCTCTAGGCCGCTTTGCCCTTTCCCAGCATAGGTAAATAAAGTGCTTGATGATGTCATGCTGGTTAGAGTTTGAGACCAAATACGTGTTGTAGTTAAAGCCTGATTGTGTTTAAAAGGCTGTTCTGCGGCGTTTTGCTGATTGCAGCACCTGGGAGCCTAGTTACAGGTTTGGAATTTGTATATACCATCTGCGTTTTGTAGCAAGGCTAACAATCATAAAAGAGGCGGTGAACTTCATTGCTGGTTAAAAGATTAATTATGTTTTCTAAAGACACATTTTCTAGTGCAGTCGTCCTCACTTCCATGGACCCTTGTTTTGGGTTCTATGAAGGATAAGCCTGTGTATATGGACCTTTGGCAACTACGGGTTCTTCTTGCATAGTCATATCATCCAATGTATAGTTCCCTGTTTGTGCATTTTCACATAAAATGCAACAGAAATCTGTATTGCAGAACATCCTGAGGGAAAAGACAGGCATGGCGTACAGATCTGTGACTCAGAAATTAAGCTGTAACCGAGCGTACTTTTTAAAATATAATCCTTCTTTCTGAGGCCTTTTAAAAAGTGTAGCTATCTTGTCTATAGTCTAAGAGAAGTTAAACGTGAGCCACTGGTCCTGCATGTCTGCATTCTGAGGATGAGGATGGAAGGGCTATGCTTTGGGCTTGGGAAAGTTCTGCGATGGCCCAAAGGCTGTGATGTGCAGGCAACCCTGCCAGGCCGTTGTTTCCTTGTATTTCCTGTTGCTTACATTTTAATAACTCTGGAGTAGCTGGTGATTATTAACATATTTAACAGTAGGAGCAGAATAGTGTTGGGTCACTGTGGACAGTTTGGAGTGTCAACATTAAAGAAATGATTTTAAAGGTTAGATTTCCAAACCGCTGAAGTCTTTGAAACTTGGGCAGGTGAGTAGAGCAAGAACTGGCCCCAGCGCAGCCCTTTTTAATTATTAGCCATAGTGGAGTGAGTCAGGTTTTGTCACGGTGCTTTTCGCTTAACCTAATAATTGGCCAGCCCTAGTTAATTGGTTGAAAACCATTAAACGACTCAGACTTCCCAGTTGCACATGCAATGGAATGTCCAGCTTACCTCATGGCTGTGAGTAAAGGCACCGTGGTCTGGCTAATTAAAGTGCCTGTCCATACTCACCTCAAAGAAAAGCGCCACCAACAAGTTAGGTTTTAAGAGTTCTCAGAAGGTCCTTCTGAGGCCTGGTAAACAAACGGCGACCAACACGTACCTTTTGAGTCCAGGTTTGAGAGCTGAAGAGAAAGAATATTCTAAATCTCCAGGTCAGCCTCGAGATGTACTGATGCTGTGGAGTTGCTTCAGCTGAAGGGAAGGATCATATTTACTCCCAATGTACTACAAGTGGGTTTTCCAACAGTGTCTGTTTTGTATGGTGAGTGTTGAAGTCTGCTAAGAACAAAACAAAAGCTTATAGTGTGGCGAGAGAGGACACTGCACAATAAGTACTAGCTAATGCCACTGAAATTGCAGGTTTCATTTCTGAAAAGTAAAGGTGAGTTTCTAAATAAATATTTTTTAAATTTGAGGATTTTTTTTGCCAGTGATTTGATATATAAGATAATTATAGCTCTGAGTGTGTGCAGATCTAGTCTATTACAATAGATAATATATCTGTGTAGAAAGTAAAAAGTCAATAAATCACAAGGGCAACTATGTTTTAGTGATCACTCAGGAGTTATTTTCATAGAAATCAGCCATTATATAAAAGTAGCTCATTGGCTATAAGTAAAATGGCCTCATCTGTCACTTTTTAAAACTGAATGATTGAGCCAAACTATTTTTTTTAGACTTATTTATTTATTTGAAGGTCAGATTTACACACAGAGAAAGGGGGCGGGGTGGAGAGAGAGAGAGAGATCCTCCATTTGAAGGCTCACTTCCCAAATGGCTGCAATGGCCAAGGCTGGGCCAGGCTAAAGTCAGGAGTCAGGAGCTTCATCTGAGTCCCCCACGTGGGCGCAGTGCCTAAGCACTTGAGCCACCTTCTGCTGCTTTCCCAGGTGCATTAGTAGGAAGTTGGATTGGAAGTGGAGCAGCTGGGACTTGAATTGGCACTCATGTGGGATGCCAGCATTACAGGCAGTGGCTTAATCCACTGTGCCATAGTGCCGACCCCAAACTGTCTTGGTTTTAACTTTTATCCATAGACAAAGTCATTGGCTTATGAAAACCAGCTGAAGGACAAGCTGTCAAAACTTTTAATAAGCCTTTTAAGATGTGACTGTGGGGCCGGCACTGTAGTGTAGTGGGTAAAGCTGCTGACTGCACTGCTGGCATACCTTATAGGCACTGGTTCAAATGATGACTGCTCCACTTCTGATCCTGCTCTCTGCTATGCCTAGAAAAACAGTAGAGGATGGTCCAAGTGCTTGGGCCCCTGCACCCATGTGGGAGACCTGGAAGAAGCTCCTGGATCCTGGCTCCTGGCTTCGGATTGGTGCAGCTCCGGCTGTTGCGGCCAATTGGGGAGTGAACCATTGGATGGAAGACCTCTCTCTCTCTCTCTCTCTCTCTCTCTGCCTCTCCTCTCTCTGTGTAACTCTGACTTTCAAATAAATAAAATAAATCCTCTTAAAAAAAAGAAAAAGATGTGACTGTGTGGGACAGATAAACAGTTGAGATTGTTTTGCTGGGGCTCTGCATAAGTTTTGAATACCAGAAGAGAGTGCATGGAGTTAACAGTCGTTTCTGATCCTGGTGGAGAGGTACACATCTGAACACAGCGAGAAGAGTAAAACTGTTGCAAAGAGGGACTTTGTAAGAAGAGTAGGCCCAAGCCGGCGCCGCGGCTTACTAGGCTAATCCTCTGTCTTGCGGTGCTGGCACACTGGGTTCTAGTCCTGGTCGGGGCGCCAGATTCTGTCCCGGTTGCCCCTCTTCCAGGCCAACTCTCTGCTGTGGCCAGGGAGTGCAGTGGAGGATGGCCCAAGTGCTTGGGCCCTGCACCCTCATGGGAAACCAGGAGAAGCACCTGGCTCCTGGCTTTGGATCAGTGCGGTGCGCCAGCCGCAGCACGCCAGCCGCGGCGGCCATTGGAAGGTGAACCAACGGGAAAAGGAAGACCTTTCTCTCTGTCTCTCTCTCTCTCACTGTCCACTCTGCCTGTCAAAAAAAAAAAAAAAAAAAAAAAAGAGTAGGCCCAGCTCTTATGAAAAATGGGCTGTGTGAACAAGGGAGATGCAGAAAGTCATACTAGTGCCCTGTGTAGTGCCAGAATCTCAAAGATGAATTTCCGGTGAGGTGGTTTGTGGAGAGGGGGCGGGTCATGGGGTAAGCTGGACAAATGTCCAGCAATGTAAGGGTGCTTCAAAGAAGACCTTGAGATGTTTTTGGATGTCTCTTGCTTATAGGACAAGATCCGAAATATTGCATAAGTTGTTTGCTGGAAGAGAGGAGAGGTGTAACTTGAGTCTGTTCAGAATGATAAGGCGAAACAAGGGGTTCATTTCAGGGTGCTTTAACAGAGCAGCCTTTGAGGGCCATCACCAGAGCTTTTCGGAGTGGGCAGACTTGAGAGCAGAGCATGTCACCAGGTGTCTCACGGAGTCACACGCAGGCTGCTTGTGTTCATGGCTGCCGGTGATACAGTGGCGGCCCCAGACCTGCGGCTTGTGTAGAGATGCCCAGGTCTCTGCTGGAGTCAGTGCTCCCGAGCTTTCTCTCGAAGGCCTGATGGCAGAGTGGCTGGCTTTGATTTGCTTCCTGTCTGGGTGAATTAAAAAACCTGTTTGTTTCGCCTGTCAGCCGGCTGGGCCTTACCCATAATTCCTGAACTTTGATTATGGGGGTTATTAAAGGACAAGAGCTCCTTTGTAAAAGAGCATGTTTAATACTCTGGGGTCTAGCGTGACTAGCGGATATAAATTGTATGGAAGCAATTAAATGCGAAGGAAATGTCGTGTGGGCTGAGTTTAAACGTGCAGACTTGTGGCATTTATTTTCTTGACTTACACTGAGATGGATGGAGAGGGAAAAATAAAGGAAGAGCGAAGAATACAAGACCGAGAGCCAGAGAAGCACCCACAGAGACAAGGAGGGAGAAGGAGTCACATTTGCACATTTGGTTAAAAATCCAAAGTCCAAGGCTGGTATCAGGCGAATGCCATTGCCCTTTAACTGAACTCTTAAAAACACAAATGTCAGGGATTTATACTTCGCTTTGGAGCTTGTATCTCCCGTCTGTCCCCTTCGTCTCAACGTATGCGTGTGCATAACAGGTCAGCGGGAGAGAGGTGGGATGTGTTAATAAAGGGGCCAGAAGGAGGCTCCATAAATGACTATGGTACTTTTTACTCTAGTTTTCTCCAATTTTATGCTCACACCGCTGCATATTTCATCCTCAGTGGCTCATCTTTGGACTTCCAGTTAGAAGTGGGGTGTTGTCGTTGCTCTTGCTTCTGGAATGTTCTCCATCTCTGTACTTGGTCTGTTAGGACTCAGCCAGGGAATCTGTGTCCCCTACCTGGACCAGCTCACCGGAAGCCATCCCCTCTGGAGACCCTCATGGCAGTTTGATCTGTCCCTACTTAATCTTTTCTGTTGTCTAGTAAGATGCTGAGGAAGGTTTGCTTTTTTTTTTTTTTTTTTTTTTTTTTGACAGGCAGAGTGGACAGTGAAAGAGAGAGACAGAGAGAAAGGTCTTCCTTTGCCGTTGGTTCACCCTCCAATGGCCGCCGCGGCCGGCGCGCTGCGGCTGGCGCACTGCGCTGATCTGATGGCAGGAGCCAGGAGCCAGGTGCTTTTCCTGGTCTCCCATGGGGTGCAGGGCCCAAGCACCTGGGCCATCCTCCACTGCACTCTCTGGCCACAGCAGAGGGCTGGCCTGGAAGAGGGGCAACCGGGACAGAATCCGGCGCCCCAACCGGGACTAGAACCCGGTGTGCCGGCGCCGCTAGGCGGAGGATTAGGCTAGTGAGCCGCGGCGGAGGATTAGGCTAGTGAGCCGCGGCGCCGGCTTGGAAGGTTTGCTTCTAAGTGAGTGAGTTGTGTCATTCCCCAGATGTGTGGACTCTCAGAATGTGGACACCTGTTGTATGTCATGCCATCACATCTTGGTACCAGGGAGTATTTGCTGAGCTCAATGCTGATATTGAACGTGTTGTTGAAGTAAATTGTCACTGGATGATCAGAAGCAGAAACAGATGCTTTTATATATTGGATATGCCAACAGAATTGATTTGAAATTCAGTTTAGAAATAATGGACAAGGCTGGTACTGTGGCGCAGTGGGTGAAAGCCCTGGCCTGAAGTGCTGGCATCCCATATGGGCGCCAGTTCGAGACCCAGCTGCTCCACTTCCAATCCAACTCTCTGCCATGGCCTGGGAAAGCAGTGGATGGCCCAACTTCTTGGGCCCCTGCACCCGCATGGGAGACCGGAAGAAGCTCCTGGTTCCTGCTCCTGACTTTGGATCGGCACAGCTCTGGCCATTGTGGCCAACTGGGGAGTGAACCATCAGATGGAAGACCTCTTCCCCCACCTCCCCGCCTCTCCTCTCTCTGTGTAACTCTGACTTTCAAATAAATAAATAAATCTTTAAAAAAAAAAGAAATAATGGACAATCTTTTATTGTTTGTCTTGCTAGAGAGTACTTATGCCAAAAGTTTTTTTTTTTTTTTTTTTTTTGGGGGGGGGTGAAGATTTGTTACAGACAGAGAGAAGGAGAGAAAGAGAGAGAGAGAGAGAGGTCTTCCATCTGCCGGTTCACTCTGCAAATGGCCACAACGGCCAGAGCTGAGCTGATCCGAAGCCGTTAGCCAGGAGCTTCTTCCAGGTCTCCCACGTGGCTGTAGGGGCCCAAGTACTTGGACCATCTTCCACTGCCTTCCCACGCCATCAGCAGGATCGGAAGTGGAGAGCTGGGACTTGAACCAGCACCTGTATGGAATGCCAGCTCCACAGGCAGAGGCTTAACCTACTATGCCATAGTGCTGGTCCCAAATGCTTTCTTAATATCGCCTTTATTTAGATCACCTGGTGATTATTTCTTATGTAATAAGTCAAAGCTATTATTGAGCATATATTGTATGCCAAGAAATGGTATTGTACTTAGCACAAAGATGTCAGAAGAATCAGTTAGCAACAGCTATTTAAATACAACATCAAGTTCAGATTTTTGTTGTTGTTGTATCCTAATTTGTCTTTTTTTTTAAAATAAAGATTTATTTGAAAGGCATAGTGACAAAGAGAAAGAGAGTGAGAGAGATCTTCCATCTGCTGGTTCACTCCCCAAATGCCTGTAACAGCAGGGGCTGGGTTAAGCCAGAGCCGGGAGCAAGGAACTCCATCCTGGTCTCCTATGTGGGTTACAGGGACTCAGGCACTTGAGTCAACATCTGCTGCCTCCCAGGGTGTATTAGTAGGAAGTGTGGAGTAGCTGGGAATCAAACCAGGCACCCAGATAGGGATGAGGGTGTCTTAACCATTAGGCCAAACACCTGCGCCTTGTCCTCCTTTTAAACAGGAGCTCCACAGGCCTACCTCTACCCATAGAACACCAGCCGTGGCAGGTCAGTGTTCTTTCTCTCGCTTCCCTGGGCGCCTCACCGGGCATGCTTTTCAGCCATTTCTTGGGCATGGACCTTCCTTAGCAGGGAGTAGTCATTCTTTTGTTTTCTGATCTGTTTCTCCCAGCAGGTCCACCCTCTAGAGCAAGGAGCAAGTCTTAGTCTTCCTAGAATCCAGGGATGAATGAATGAATGAGGGTAAAAAGACTGAGAAAGGAAACTGATGGGATAGAATGATGTTTTTCCTTCTTGCTGCTGGTGTATCCAGAAGCTGGCTCACGGAGTTTGTGATATGCATTTACACGAATTTATCTAACAAACATGTAGTTAGCACTTACTCTGTGCCAAGCATTGTTCTAACACTGTCCACGCGTAATTGTCCAACAATTGTATAATAGGAACACTATTTTTATCCCCCTCTTTACTCAGGAAACTGAGATCCAGGGCATTTAAGTAACTTGACTAACGTCAGCACCAGTAACGCCTTAAACCCAGGCAGTCTGGGCCCAGAGGCAGGGCCCTGGCTGTCCTTTGCCCTCCCACAGGCCTGGAAGTGGTTGAGGTTTTGTTTTTGGAATCTCTCCTGTTTTCTTTCTGCCTCTCCGGTTCTGTTGCCTCCACTCCAGTGTGATGAGTGCAGCCTACGGCCCGCACCGCAGTCCCTTGCACACCAGAGCCAGGCTAATCTTCCTTAGGAACGTTCTCATCCCGTTGTTTGCTGCTACCCAACACTCCCTGGCATCCTGCGCTGTCAGGACTGACCTCTCGCCTGCTTCCCAACCTTCTCCAGTGTAATGTCCCAGCCCTGCTTGTCCGGGCTCCCTTCCCTTGCTGACCCATGTGCTGACACGGCTCCTGGGCGGTGCCTGTCCCCTTCCCTGGTGTGCCCTTGCTTCTGCTGCAGCTTCCATCCAGCCCATTCACCCTGCAGGTCCAGCCGGGCCTTCCTCCCTGCCCAGCTACTCAGCTCAGAGGATCTTCACCTTCCTGGGACCAGTGCTGTGGGCTGCTGGCCATGACTTCCTTGTTTCAGGCTTTTTTTTTTTTAAATAACATGTCTTTTTTTTTTTTTTTTTTTGGATAGGCAGAGTGGACAGCGAGAGAGAGAGACAGAGAGAAAGGTCTTCCTTTTGCCGTTGGTTCACCCTCCAATGGCCGCTGCGGCCGGCACGCTGCGGCAGGCGCACCACGCTGATCCAATGGCAGGAGCCAGGTACTTCTCCTGGTCTCCCATGGGGTGCAGGGCCCAAGTACTTGGGCCATCCTCCACTGCACTCCCTGGCCACAGCAGAGAGCTGGCCTGGAAGAGGGGCAACCGGGACAGAATCCGGTGCCCCGACCGGGACTAGAACCTGGTGTGCTGGTGCCGCAAGGCGGAGGATTAGCCTAGTGAGCCGCGGTGCCGGCCTGTTTCAGGCTTGATAAAGCCCACCTTGCTTTAAGCTCGCTGTTCCTGGCCTGGCACTGAATTGAGTTCCTGAAGTCATGGGCATCTTTGAAACAGACATTGAGCAGTGGGATTCGCGGGCAGGGCACATTTTGGACACTGATTTAGACTCTAATATTGGGCTTGGTTTCCTCATCTTTAATTGAGAAACTTGAAGAAGATTTTACCCAAGGTTTCTTTTCATTTACTTCACCAATTACACTTATTTATTTTTAAAACAGGTGTACCGAGATATAATTTACATACCAAATAATTCATCCAGTTAAAGGGTATCGTTGGGTGTTTTTAGTATATTCACAGATACGTGCAACCATTCTCACAGTCAATTTGAGAACATTTTCATCGGCAAAGAGAATCCCCTATCAGCTAGGCAATGATTGCTATCACCTCTGCCCTGAGCCCGCCTCCCCTCGGCTCTCCCTGCCTTAGGCAGCCAGTAGTCTACCTTTGTTTGTGCAGCTTTGATTGTTCTGGACATTGTGTGTAAATGAAATCAGATCTGGTCTTCCGCGTTATAGCACATATGAGTATTTCATTCTTTATGGCTAAATACTATAGCATTGAGTTGCCAATAGCAGTTTCTCTCTGTTGCTTTAGAGGTAGGAGTCTGGACCGAATGGCTGTGTTTGCACAGTGGGGTTGGACAGGTTGAATCCTTGGTCTTCATGGCAGAGAGCAGTCCTAGGGAGTCCTCAGCTTGTCAGTGTTAGAGAGGTGGAGTGCCTTCCAACCTTCCCTTCCCAGCTTGTAGCTCAGTCCCCATCCTAGCTGCAGCTGTCAGCATGGACCTACTTGGTCTTGGTGGGACAATTGCACGTGTGATCTTGGCCTGCCTTGATCCTGTGTATAGATTTGTGCTCCAGTCACTACTCTATCACGCTGATTGAGCAGAATGGCTAACGGATGAGACCTTTTTACCTCTTTGAGAAGATCCAGAGGAAGTCAGTCATTCTTTGAGGGTAGGCAGGGAAGATGGATCACCTCCTCTGGAGGTTTTCTACCCTGAAGTGTGTTGTCTCAGAGTGTAGCTTGTCACCAGGAGCTTGCTATGGCTATTAAGCATCTATTGGCTTATGTATTTGGGGTTTGCCTGTGACAACACAAATGTCTTTTTTTCTTTTGGCATCTGCTGCTCCGCTCCTCAAATGCCCACAACAGCCAGGCATGGGCCAGGCTGAAGCCAGGAGCCAGAACTGAACAGGTAGCAGGAACTCAACTGCTTGAGCCACCATCTGCTGCCTCCCAGCGTGGACTTCAGCAGGAAGCTGGATCGGAAGCAGAGCGGGAACTGGCCCCGACATTCTGATGCGGATTGCAGGCATCGGAAGCTACAGCACACCTGTCCCTGGCATCCCTTTTTATCCGTTAACTCTGCCCTTCCCTTCATTAGATTTTGACCCTTTTCAGAACTAAGTAGAACTTAGAAACAAGGAAGGAATAGGCAAAGAAGATTCTGTTTGCTCCATCTAAATGCAAGCTGCAAAAACGTGTGCGCATGATTCCTGGGGCGACTTCAAGGCTCCCAGGTCTACAGCATGACCCTGGAGAAGGAGGGGTTTCATCATTTGTGTTATTAGCCTGTCTCATTACTGTCGGCTTCGGGACTCTGCTTTCCTGTTGCCCCTTGGGCTGAGGTGCCCTTATTTACATGCAGGCTCCTGTTTGTCAGCTCAACAGGCAGAAGCGCTTGGGCACGTGACTAGGGCTTCACATGAAGCAACAAGCCCTGCCCTTGTATTGCTGGCTCACGGCTGCCTGGAAGATACAGTGGGCTGAGCAGGACTGAGCAGGTCTGAAGGAAGAGCGAGTAGAAATTCTGGTCATGTGTCCCTACATGTGGCTTCATTTGCCAAAGAGGCACCCAGGCGGAGTGGAAACAGTAAATGGCCTGATCATTTTAGATCCTTGTCTTTTGCTGCTGCTCTGAGATAAGTTACTGGTTTCCTTTTATCCTGCACAGAACACCTTTCTCTATCTCTCCCTGTTCATTGTTAGAGCTGGAGGCAGTAGTGAAATGAAAGACTTCCATTGAATGCAAGTTTTTTTTTTTTGGGGGGGGGGGACTGACACTCTTAGAATTATGATCCACCTAGCTATTAGAATATTATTTATTGCAAAAATAGTTTATAATGATACTTGGGGCCAGTGTTGCGGCTAATCCTCTGCCTGCAGTGCTGGCACACCGGGGTCTAGTCCTGGTCGGGGCGCCAGATTCTGTCCCGGTTGCCCCTCTTCCAGGCCAGCTCTCTGCTGTGGCCAGGGAGTGCAGTGGAGGATGGCCCAAGTCCCTGGGCCCTGCACCCGCTTGGGAGACCAGGAGAAGCACCTGGCTCCTGGCTTCAGATCAGCGCGGTGCGCCGGCCGCAGAGGCCATTGTGGAGTGAACCAACGGCAAAGGAAGACCTTTTCTCTCTGTCTCTCTCTCTCTCACTGTCCACTCTGCCTGTCAAAAATAATAATAATAATAATAATAATACTTGGGCATTTGTTGCAAAAGGAAAAAAGCACTGAAAATATCATTCTAATACCCTTCAAGTTTCTCCTTCTGCTTGCATATGTTGCTTTTCATTATTATAGTCTTTCACGATCAGGTATTCCATAGTAGTTGGACTGATATAAAAGGACTTTTCTGTTTTGCTTTCATTCTCCAAGATTTGAAACCTCCAGGGGCTTTTAAATGCATTTGTTGTCAGTCATGTCCAAAACAATAGATGATTATCAAAGATTGCTGTGGTAGGGAAGGATTATCTTCATGGCCTTTGATTCAGTCTTCAGCAAATGGATAGCAGCTCTTTGGACAACACATGAGAGAGACTAATTTTCTCTGATTCAGAAATGACAAAGCAGAGGAGTGATGCTGAGGAAACCATGGATTTAAGTGGAAAGAGCTTTTGGAAGCCGTAGTCAAGCTTGGCAGGTTCCTCAACCTGACAGATATTCAGCTGGGTCTCATAGGTGATCCTTGAGGCCCTATTCTGGAAGGGTATAAATAGCCTAAAAAAAAAAAAAACCAAGACCAAAACCAAAAGAACCCCCAGGAAACAGGAAGTACAACCATAGAACTTTTGAAAGCCTAAGGGACTCTGCTTAAAATCAAAGAAAGATTTTAGTTTGATGGAGAAAGGAGTGAAACAGTTTTATTTATTTATTTTTTTTTTAAGATTTTATTTATTTATTTGAGAGGTAGAGTTACAGACAGTGAGAGGGAGAGACAGAGAGAAAGGTCTTCTGTCCATTGGTTCACTCCCCAAATGGCCTCAACGGCTGGAGCTGTGCCGATCTGAAGCCAGAAGCCAGGTGCTTCTTCCTGTCTCCCGGGTGGGTGCAGGGACCCATGCACTTGGGCCATCCTCTACTGCTTTCCCAGGCCATAGCAGAGAGCTGGATTGGAAGAGGAGCAACCAGGACTAGAACTGGCGCCCACATGGGATGCCAGTGCCGCAGGCGGAGGATGAACCAAGTGAGCCACGGCGCCGACCTCAACAGTTTTTATTTGTATTATTTTTTTAATTGTGATATTTGTTTAAATAGAGAGGCTGAGGCCTTTCCAGTCTTCCTATAAAGTGCTGTAGGAGTTGGGGACTGTTTTTTCCCCCATCTCAAACTCACGCTGCACAAGCGGAAAAAGGTTTCTTCTTTTAGCCTTTCCTTAAAATACTTGGTGGAGGTCACATACTACATGATTCATTTGCAAGACTAGGATTTTTCCTGGTACTGAGATCTGAAATTGCTGGATTGGCTTAAGGCACCCATTCCCCCAGGCCTCCAAGAGCTCATCTTGTCTGCTGTTGGCAGCGATATCTGTACTCCCTCACACGGCAGAAGACGCTCCTGGGGGAAGAATTAGCCAATCACACAGAGCAGCCAGCGTTGCCAAGGACACAGCTTTGACTTTGGCGGCAGCTGTTTCTTAGAAGAGCATTTGCTTGGGTTTCTCTGGAAGCGGGCAGTTCACAGAGTGCCCCAAACTGGATTAATAATGGGAATTTTTAAAATGCCTTTAGAATTCTTAGAAAATAATACTACTTTTACTGGTTCCACTCTATGAAAAAGCTAGGGAATCGCAGCCTATAGAGCTTCATCAGTCCTAGCAATGGGTGAAGATACCTGTAGTGTCACGGGCCGTACACCATGGTGTCTCTTGTTGGGTTACCAGCACGTGGTCTTCAGCCACCATGCTTACTCCTTTCTTTCTGGTTTCTCTGGCATGAGCAGGGGCTGCAGGGACAGGTGTGGCAGCAGCCATCACTTCCTTTCCTCTCAGGCTTCCTTCCTCCTAGCAACATACGGAACAGTGTCCTCCCATCAAAATGGGGCGCCCCTCTGCTCCTTACAGCTCATCGCCCAGCATGAATTCAGGGTTGACTGCCCCACGTGGCTGAAGATGGACCCTGTTTCCCAAAGAAAGTTTCGATTGTGGTCAGGAAAAGTGGAATCATAGATTGTAGGCAACAACAGAGGCTTACCCTAAGGAGGGCTGCCTGATGAAATCAAGACGTCCAGTTAAATTTGAATTTCAGAGAAACAGCAGATGAATTTTTAGTGTTTTGCATCTAAATGTTGCCTGTGACATACTTCTGCTAAATAAATATTTGTTGATTGATTTAAATTTAAATTCAGATTTGCCTGGGCATCCTGCATTTTTATTGCTCAATCTGGAACCCCAAGTCCCTAGGATACTTCTCATGTCCCATTTCATGGTTTTTTATTAGCTTGTCACTTACTTAACCTAAGCTTTCTTTGCTTTGTGGATGTGCTGGGGAGTGATATAGTGGGCAGGGTGTTACACTAGTGGGAATGAAGAGAGGGCAGGGCAGGGCATAAATAAAGGATTGGCCAAGCAGCTGCTTGGTGGCCTCGGGACAGAGTGGGTGTTCAACTACCTGTTCACTATATGCCAAGGTTGGGCAACGCCTTGTTTTTGATACTATTCTTGGATGCACTCATATGTTCTATGTATTTCATCACCCCGTCTGCCCACACACTGAGTATGGGCTATTTTCCAATTGATGCTCTTTTGTAATCCTTCTGGGCAAACACCTCCAGTACCTTGCCTTGGAATTTGGAAAAAAGAGAAGTAGAATTTCGCTTCTAACCATAATGCTGGGTCTGCTTTAAAGGTTTTAGTACCAATTATTTTAATTTAAGAAATGATTTGCATTTGCATGCTAAATGTAACATTGGTTCTGGTCCTTTTTTTTTTTTCCCCCCACCACATACTAGAGAATACGTATTTGATGGTCTATAAAGATTCCCTTTAAATTCTGGTTCACAGAGCCAGTGTTGTGGCCTAGCAAGTAAAGCTGCCGCCTGAGATGCTCCAGTCCCATATTGGCATTGGTTTAAGTCCCAGCTGCGCCACCCAGCACCCTGCTAATGAGCCTGGGAAAGCAGTGGAGATAGCCCAAGGGCTTGAGCCCCTGTACCTGTCTGGGAGACCCAGATGAAACTCCTGGTTCTTGGCTTCCCCCTGGCCCAGCCGTGGCCATTGCAGCCATTTGGGGAGTGAACCCAGCAGATGGGAGATCTCTTTATTCCTCTGTCTCTTCCTCTCTTTCTATAACTCTGACCTTTAAAAAAAATTCTGTAAGTTATTAGCTTTGTTTTATATAGTGACTGATTTCAGCTGGGAGAAAATAAACCCTGTGAAATCCAAACCCGAGGCACAAAGGATGCTTATCTGACAAGGTCTGCCCCTGGATGTTGGGTGCCTACTGGGTTTTGGCACTCTCTTCGGAGGCTCTGTTATTAATTAGTAGGTTCTAGTAACGAAAATAGAGGAGTGACAGGGAGGATTAATTTATTTACAGTAGTTTCCTACTGCAGTAGTCACATGTACAGTTTCCCCAGCTTACAGCCTGCCCTCTTTAACCTTGGTTTGACTCAGAAAGTCATCTATGATGTTTTAATTTCTTGGGCCCAGCAGGAAAAATTCATTTGTCACGAGTGACGATTACCTTGCCGTCGTTACTGTGTGGTTATAGTACATTCATTGCTGGGAGTAGTTTATGAATGTCACCTTGATCCATGAGCTCAACTGGGTGTCACACATCTAGGAAGGGAGGGACTCTGTAGATACTTAAGTGGGAAACTCAAGGTGCTGAACGGGGGCGGGTTAGTGATTAAGAAGTTGGCATTTGGTTTGAGTCAGGGCTTTTAGTGCTATGCTTAGAACAACTCGTTTGCTTGTGAGAAAGCACTTGTTTGCATGTGATCTTAATTCCTGCTTCATTAAAACATACAAACACCGAGCTGTAACTCTTTTCCTTGGAGGTAGGGGAAAAAAAAGAGCAGAGATGTTAGTTTGATTGACGGCAAAGCTTTTCTAGACAGAGGCTTCCTTTGAAGATGAAAAATTACTATGATTTGTTTTTCTGATTTTAGTAAGAAACAGAATGAGCCAGAGCCTTCCCCTTGGTACAAGCACTGGCATTTTAAATGGAGCAGCATACTGGGTCTCACGTCCCCAGCCGTGACCCATATCCAAGGTACTACCCCAGCCTGAGGACTTGAACAAGTGCAGCACAGGATTTACGGTTCTGTCTCTGGACTTGTTAGGACTGTTGCAGCTGAAGATGACCCAAGTCCAACTCACCCTGGTTGATCCATGTTCCTAGAGAAGCCAAAGCTGGCTCCAGCCTCTGGGATTTCTTTAGTGTCATTTGGACTCCCCATCGGTTTTCCTTGGTGTCTCTGCCTCTTGGCCGCATTCCCTTCTCTCATTGTCTGGGATGTGGCTTCAGGCATAGTTGGGCTTCCGTGTCCATATCTCTCAGGAAGGAAGAGAGGGCTTCCCTTAACCCCCAGCTTCAATGTGTGTACCTATGTATCTGCTTACTTGCCCTCCCCCGAGCTCAGTGGAGGAGGGTCCTGAATTGGTCAGCCTGCAGGATTCACAAAATTAGAATGGAGTAAGAATAGTTTGTCACTGGAAGTAGTAGTGGTGGTGGTGGTGAGAGGGGGTGGGGAGGTTTTGTGGCCGGAAGAAGGGAAGAGATGCTGGGCAGACAGTAACCACATACTTTTCCTATAGAGAGTGATGAAGCCACATGGAAGACAAGGACCCTGTAGATAACAGGCCTGCATGGGAGACAGCTTGGCATTGCCAAAAGTAAGCAAAGGTAGTGAGGAAGTGCGAAGTTCAGTACCATCGGTGTGAACCATGGTCATTCACAGAATATTGTGAGATTTTATTTTATTTTTTAAAAGATTTTTATTTATTTATTTGAGAGGTAGAGTTAGAGAGAGAGAGAAGGAGTCAGAGGAGTCTTCCATCCGCTGGTTCACTCCCCATATGGCCAAAATAGCCAGAGCTGAACCAATCTAAAGCCAGGAACCAGGAACTTCCTCCCTGTCTCTTACGTGGGTACAGGGGCCCAAGGACTTGGGCCATCTTCTGCTGCTTTCCCAGGCCATAGCAGAGAGTTGGATCAGAAGAGGAGCATCCGGGACTCGAACAGGTGCCCATATAGGATGCCAGCACTGCAGGCAGAGGCTTAGCCCATTACGCCACAGTGCCAGCCCCAATTGTGAGATTTTAGCACTGTCTGCAGCTTTCTATTTGCCATAGTGCTCTTGTTGCTTGCGATTGTATCCCTCTTCTCCATGGCCACATGGTAAATCTTAGTCCTGAAAGCAATGTAATATAATGTTCTATACATGCAGGTCTACATCTACCCATCAGAAGTATTTCTATACAGTTAAAATAGGCATGTCAGAACACAAGTTCATGGAGGTGATGCTATCCAATGGAGAAAGCCTTGAATTCACAAAAAGCAAGACAACATCCTCTGCGAACGTAAATGATTGGGGATGTCTTTCACAATGAATGGCATCACAGCTTGGCATTTAGTGACTTCCCAGCATTCCATTTTATAGCTGTACTCCAATTTGTTCATCTAGCACCTGTTCTAAGTACTGAGTACTGAAAGATTATTATTGTTATATATTATTCATATTATATACTATCGGTATAAATTCATTGTTTAATTTCTCTAGTAAATGATCCTGACAATTGGTCATATTGTCATGTTTTTGAAAAATAAGCCAATCAT